TTTAGTTTGGTTTGTTTTACAGCATATCAACCCCAATGGATTATTTAATGCCGACAGTTTCTATTGCTGTTAATATATTCCCTTCAAAAATGTATAGCTGGTAATTTTTAAAAAAAAATTAATTACTGGTAATATTTTTTTTTTTTTAGAAAACCTGTATTGCTGCTAATAATATATGGCTGGTAATAATTATTTACAAAAATGTATTGCTGGTAATAATTTTTCGTTAAAAAAAGTATTGAAGGGGGTTAAATCCAGTTTTGAGGTTAAGTATGTGCCAATAGTTGGGACCCTAACAGGTGCTACCACCCCGGCTCAGAGTGGGAACACCAGCAATTAAGAGATGATTCTACAGTCCTCAAAACCTCCTGATCAGAGGTCTTGCTGTTGGACGTAGTTTATAGTCTTACCCAGGACGCGGGTGTAGTTTATCGTCAAACTAAGGATGGAAATGCTACCAGGATTCATTATTGGCGGCCACTATCTTAACAACATCAGATATGCAGAAAAAAATCTAGATGACCCTCTATGCATTTGCTTGGTGTGAAATGATTAAAAAAATAAAATAAATAAAATGAATATATTGAAATATAAATTGAAAATATACGAAATCATTTATTATGTTTACTCTTCATTATACTCGGGTACTTAACAAATATTTAGAAATAAATGGGGATTCTTTGAAACAGCACAAAAAGTGACATTAAAACGCTATCTGAACTTGGTTGAAACAAACCCAGTACACCCGTAGTCTACCCGAAATATCAGGCAAGTAAAACTTGGCTCTTGGTGAGCATTTCATTTAGCTACGAAGTCTTTGGAAGGGAACATAGTTGTTAAATAAGTTGCATTCTTTGCTTACGTACAATTATTTAAATTTGCGTCGAGCCACACAGAAGAACCGGTTAAGAAATATAGCTGTTTCTGCTGTTGCTGGTTATATTTCAATTCAGAAGTCTTAATATTTTATCGTTCAATTACCAGGCACGATTAATCTAAGAATATATTTATTTAATGACTGCCCCTAAAGACGTTGATAAAACTCTTACATCCCCAATATCAAACCAGTTTCTATATATCATGTGAAAGATTAAATCCATGTTTCTGTCTGACCTCAAATTTTAAAGACAACCTGAAAACATTTCGTTCCAAATCTTATTGAGGAATACAGCTCTCGCGAAAGACTTGTAACAGAGTAATTTTAAAGATTCTGTTATGTTGAATATACAACTTGCAGAGATGTGTGTTAAATAATTCCCAGGTATCTTTTTTTACAGTTAGACTACTTTTTTGTGGGGAGTGCATTAGAAAGAATCCATATGTCAATCTTACTACCTCATATTTTCTTATCCAGTTCGTAAAAATGTGACATATTCGGATAATTCCAGCCAGATTCAACAAGAGTCTATTCGGATAAATCCAGCCAGATTCAACAAGAGTCTATTCGGATAAATCCAGCCAGATTCAACAAGAATCTATTCGGATAATTCCAGCCAGATTCAACAAGAGTCTATTCGGATAATTCCAGCCAGATTCAACAAGAGTCTATTCGGATAATTTCCAGATTCAACAAGAGTCTATTCGCATAATTCCAGCCAGATTCAACAAGAGTCTATTCGGATAATTGTCTATTCGGATAATTCAGCCAGATTCAACATTCAGCCTGATTCAACAAGAATTTATTCGGATTTAGCCAGATTCAACAAGAGTCTATTCGGATAATTCCAGCCAGATTCAACAAGAGTCTATTCGGATAATTCCAGCCAGATTCAACAAGAGTCTATTCGGATAATTCCAGCCAGATTCAACAAGAGTCTATTCGGATAATTCCAGCCAGATTCAACAAGTGTCTATTCGCATAATTCCAGCCTGATTCAACAAGAATTTATTCGGATAATTCTAGCCAGATTCAACAAGAGTCTATTCGGATAATTCCAGCCAGATTCAACAAGAGTCTATTCGGATAATTCCAGCCAGATTCAACAAGAGTCTATTCGGATAATTCCAGCCAGATTCAACAAGAGTCTATTCCAGCCAGTTTCAATAAGAGATTCAACAAGATTCAACAAGAATCTATTCGGATAATTCCAGCCAGTTTCAATAAGAGTCTATTCGGATAATTCCAGCCAGATTCAACAAGAATCTATTCGGATAATTCCAGCCAGATTCAACAAGAGTCTATTCGGATAATTCCAGCCAGATTCAACAAAGTGTCTATTCGGATAATTCGAGCCAGATTCAATAAGAGTCTATTCGGATTCAATCAACAAAGTCTATTCGGATAATTCCAGCCAGATTCATTCAAGATCTATTCGCATAATTCCAGCCAGATTCCAGTCTATTTCAACAGATTCAAGAGTCTATTCGGATAATTCCAGCCAGATTCAACAAGAGTCTATTCGGATAATTCAGCCAGATTCAACAAGTGTCTATTCGCATAATTCCAGCCTGATTCAACAAGAATTTATTCGGATAATTCTAGCCAGATTCAACAAGAGTCTATTCGGATAATTCCAGCCAGATTCAACAGAGATAATTCAGCCAGATTCAACAAGAGTCTATTCGGATAATTCCAGCCAGATTCAGTCTATTCGATAATTCCAGAAAGATTCAACAAGAGTCTATTCGGATAATTCCAGCCAGATTCAACAAGAATCTATTCGGATAATTCCAGCCAGTTTCCTATTGGATAATTCCAGCCAGATTCAACCAGAATCTATTCGGATAATTCCAGCCAGATTCAACAAGAGTCTATTCGGATAATTCCAGCCAGATTCAACAAGAGTTTATTCGGATAATTCCAGCCAGATTCAACAAGAGTCTATTCGGATAATTCCAGCCAGATTCAACAAGAGTCTATTCGGATAATTCCAGCCAGATTCAACAAGAGTTTATTCGGATAATTCCAGCCAGATTCAACAAGAATCTATTCGGATAATTCAAGAGTTTATTCGGATAATTCCAGCCAGATTCAACAAGAGTCTATTCGGATAATTCCAGCCAGATTCAACAAGAGTCTATTCGGATAATTCCAGCCAGATTCAACAAGAGTCTATTCGGATAATTCCAGCCAGATTCAACAAGAGTCTATTCTGAAGTTCGTCAAATTTCAGTCACATTTTCGCCATTCGTTAATATTCATCAGATGAGTCGACCCCGAAAGTTTTATCATGATACCTTATTTCAAACAGATTTCATGCCACTCTGAAGATGGAAAATTTTGGAAAACACTGTATTTTTTTATATTTAGAGATTTCTCTCTGAAAGAATATTTCATTGGTTCTCTTTAGAACTTGTTTTTCATTCCTCAAAAGCAGTATGTGTCTCTCAAATTCAATCACGTAAACACACACTCCTATCACATGTTGTAAAAATCCCAAATGATTTTTTTTAATGGACAAAAACCTGTTACATTTAAAGTTCTTCAAGACGGACCTTTGTGGAATCAGGCTAGACTGACCGATTTTACAAAAACAAGCGCATAAAAGATAATCACATCAAACAAACACCATCAGGGAAATACGGAACACTGCTCGATACACAACGACAATATTGCACTCATATAAGTGACTAATATCATAAAATCCAAAAAGAATAAACACCACAAAAATATTATAATATTAGCATTCGGAATATAGAAATTGTCAACAGTATATATTAGGCGTTAAAAGGTACAAAAATATTCCAGAGATTTATAGTATTAAGATAGATAGATAGATAGATAGATAGATAGATAGATAGATAGAAATTGAAACGAAGGAAGAAAGACAAAGAAAGTAAGAAAGACAGAAAGAAAGAAAATCAAAGACATAGATAGATAGATAGATAGATAGAAATAGAAAGATAGATAGAAGATAGAAGGAAATTAAAAAAGGAAGGAAGGAAGGAAGGAAGGAAGGAAGGAAGGAAGGAAGGAAGGAAAGACAGAAAGAAAGAAAAAAATGACAGAATAGATAGACAGAGATAGATAGATAGATAGATAGATAGATAGAAATAAAAACAAAGGAAGGAAGGAAGGAAAAGAAAGAAGGAAAGACAGAAAAAGAAAATCAAATGACAGAGATAGATAGATAGATAGAAATTAAATTAAAAAAAGGAAGGAAGGAAGGAAGGAAGGAAGGAAGGAAGGAAGGAAAAGAAAGAAGGAAAGACAGAAAGAAAGAAAATCAAATGACATAGATAGATAGATAGATAGATAGATAGATAGATAGATAGATAGATAGATAGATATGAAATTAAAACAAAGGAAGGAAGGAAGGAAAAGAAAGAAGGAAAGACAGAAAGAAAGAAAATCAAATGACATAGATAGATAGATAGATAGATAGATAGATAGATATGAAATTAAAACAAAGGAAGGAAGGAAGGAAGGAAGGAAGGAAGGAAGGAAGGAAGGAAGGAAGGAAAAGGAAGGAAAAGAAAGAAGGAAAGACAGAAAGAAAGAAAATCAAATGACATAGATAGATAGATAGATAGATAGATAGATAGATAGATAGATAGATAGATAGATCGACAGACATGGGATTAAATTACAAGAAAGAAAGAAAAAAGAAAAAAAACAAAACATAGATAGAAGGAAGATAGAGATAGATAGATAAGGATATTAAAAGAAAGAAAAGAAAATGAAAGGATGTACAGATAAATAAAGACAAAAAATAAAGAAAGGAAGAAGAAAATGAAATAACAGATAGATAGATAGATATAGATAGAGAGAGAGATGGATAATGTCAAAAAATGAAAGAAAAAGAAAATAGATAGATGTAAATAGATGAGATAGATAGATAGATAGATAGATAAATTAAAACAAAGGAAGATAGGAAGGAAACAAAAGAAAGAAGGAAAGACAGAAAGAAAGAAAATCAAATGACATAGATAGATAGATAGATAGATAGATAGATAGATAGATAGATAGATAGATAGATAAAACAAAGAAGGAAGAAGGAAGGAAGGAGAAGAAGGAAGGATTAAATTAAGGAAAGAAAGAAAGGAAGAAAAAGAAAAAATCAAATGACATAGATAGATAGATAGATAGATAGATAGATAGATAGATAGATAGATAGATAGATCGACAGACATGGGATTAAATTAAAAGAAAAAAAAAAAAAAAAAATAGAAATAGATAGATAGATGATAGATAGATAAATAGATAGATAGATATTAAAAGAAAGAAAGAAAATGAAAATTATCAGATAAAAGAAAAAAATTAAAAAAGAAAATAAAGTAAAAAGGAAAATGAAATAACAGATAGATAGATAGATAGAGAGAGAGAGAGAGAGAGATGGATTAAATGTCAAAAATGAAAGAAAAAAGAAAATCAAATGATAGATGTAAATAGACTGAGATAGATAGATAGATAGATAGATAGATAGATAGATAGATAGATAGATAGATAGATTCGAAATTAAAACAAAAACTGGAAGAAAGGAAGAATGAAGGAAAGAAAATAAAAGGATAGATATATACATATTAATAAATAAATAGGCAAATGTGCGATTAAATTATAAGAAAAGAAAGAAAATGAAATGCTAGATAGATAGATAGATAGATAGATAGATAGATAGATAGATAGATAAATAGATAATCTAACATCTACATAGATCACGTCTTATTCTTTTTCAGGCAGTGCAAAGCAAATGAATGTTTATTGAAAATCCTGTACACTTTAACACGGGGATTGTTTATGATCGTCTGTTCAATGTTTGAGGGAAATAATTGAAGCTGTGCGTGTGTGGTCCTCCATTGAATGTCTATTTCTCTTGAAATCCTCTGAAATGTCTGTCAGCCATCCTAAGTGCTCATGAATAAAAACACAAAAGCACGTCTTGGTCAATCGACCCTTGATCGCATGAATTATGGATTAGACGACAAACCATTCTTAGGCCATTCCATAAAGTGAAATAAAAGAAAAGACCGTCAGTATAATGATCGAAATTGGTTAAGAAACAGCAGTGAGTGCGTCTTGCATGCAAGCAAATGACGAGACACTCTCTCCTTAAAGTCGAAAGTCTCAATTATAGAAACACTGGCGAGTGAACAGGAAGGCGAGTATAAATACATACGTCTACAAGAGACACACATGCATGCGTCTACCATAGATATGTAAAATGGCTGTGAATGTGATATAATGTCACTGACACAACAGTGCAATGCACGACATTTAAAAGCATAACGTGTCTATTCAGACCATTATAATAAAAATGACCTAAATGTGTATATGTTCAGAAGTATTTCTTGAAAAATACGCTATGTTTAGGATCGATAGATATCAAAACTATAGACCTATTTTAGCTAGTAACGACATTTTTATTATAAATAAATAAAAATGTAAAATAAAATGATAACAATGAATATTATTAATGAAAAATGAAAATTCTGGTTTAAAAATATCAATTAAAATTTAAATCTCAGAAATTAAATGTCTGTTCATGTAAATAATTTTTTAAATTAATGCTACAAAAGTAGACATATGTATTGACTTGTGAGAAAAGGAAGAAATGATACAATCAACACATATGACAATTTGAAAAAAAGAAATATATTAAGAAGAAAGTAAGAGGTAGACAAAATAAAGCCAAATATTTTTTTTTCTCCCTATAAGCATCCATCTCGCACACTTGCATAGCTCAGAGAGCCAGATAAATGCCTTGCAGTAATCAAAATTCTGAAAACACAGTACTGTTCATCAGCAGATTTATTTAAAGCCAGAAGGTGAAAAGAGAAAAAAAATATTAACTTAAAATTAATTTAGTCAAAACAGCAAATAAACAAAAGATTAAAAGTAATGGAAAAAGATATGACAAATAGACTTGAATGCAAATATAACTCTGAGATTGTGGGTTTAAATGAATAAAGGAGGTAGCAAGTAGATTTTGTACATGAACAGGTTATGCATGTTGCAATAATAAGTTCTCAGAAAGGAAGTGACATGAAGTTACAATATGAGAACGATGTATAAACAGTTAACATGTGATGAATTTCTGGGGACATTATTATTATTATAAATGAATAAAAATATAAAATAATAGTAATGAATATTATAAATAAAATAATAACATTAAAACCTTGTTTAAAATAAATTTAATGAAAAATAAAAATTCTCCCAGAATACAACATAAACTTTTCCTGATGGAAAACAAACATCCTGTCAAAAGAAGTTGAATTCGGTCTCTTCGTTAACAACTTTGGGACAGTCAACATGCACCCAACTTCTCTCTGTGTGATATTGTGTAATAATATGAATTAACTTCTTTTTATTACATGCAACCATGAAACATTTGTAACCGAAAGTACACACACGGATACACACAAAATAAATAAACTGTATGATAGCAATGTAAAATTTAACATGCTTTTACTGTTATCTCTGTGTCTGTTTTATTTCTATGAAGTATGTTTTTATTTCTTGTGAATACGAGGCTATTCCTGCTAATATGATATGAGTGATCCCCACATAATTTGTTAACTCTGACATGTAAAAAAAAAACATTCCTAACACAAGCCACTAGTGGCCTGCTGGTGGGCCGCTGATAACAAAACCAGCGGTCCTCTGGTGGCAGCCACCAGCAAGCCACCGGCGAGGCACCAGTGAGCCTCTAGCGGTATGCCAGTTTTAACATTGGCAAGACATTTCTGTCAGCAGTCCGACAGCAGGCCACCAGCAGTAAATGCAAGTGGCATGCCACCCAGTGGCAGATTGGTGGCTTGTGTGGAGAGATTCTTCTACCCACAATGTACAACAGGAAAAATATTTTGTAACCAAAAAATACACTCATCAGTACACATAAAAAATATATTCTATGATGATTAATGTACAATTTACCATGCTTTCCTTATTATTTCTGCGTAAGTTTTATCCGTGTATACTTTTCCTTCCAGTAAACACGAGGCTACTTCTGCTGTTAGGTTATAAGTGACCCCACAACCGATGTGAATTGTTAATAAAAACAGAAACAATGGAGATTTAACTCGAGTAATTCAGGTTTTATCAAATAGATGTATGATGTCAATTTGTGATAAACAATCAAATGTGTTAATCTTCCACAGAATATATATATATATATATATATATATATATATATATATATATATATATATATATATATATATATAAATTTATTCACTAAACAGTTGTGGAAGAATAAACCTCTAACTGGGCACAGAATCCTCAAAAATATGAAAAACAATCTAACAAATCTTCGCTCAGACTTTACCCATATAGTTGTGTCTTGAACGAGTGTGGGCTGGGAGATTTGATTTATGAACTTTCCTAATTAAGCAGGCAGGAGAAAGTAATAAAAACCCATTAAGAGAGGAAAAGTTTCGCCAGCTAGTGACAGCAACAGACCACAGCCAAGATGCCAAGCCAGAACCGTTAACATTGCAGATACTGCTTTCGATTTTCTCAAGATTTTCTACATGCATATCAAAATATCAGATGTTGCAACAATAAAAGTGCTTATCCATGACTAAGATTATGCAAACTAAAATATCTATTCAAATTAGTATATTTTTGAGTTTAGATCCATGAGGGATAGTAGGTCATCTACATCAAAGCTTTTAGTTAGTCTCCTCTTGTTGCACGCGCTATTTTGCTCTAGTTAGATTGAGTTCTTCACAGTATACAATATTCATTCTGCTACTTGTATGGATCTATATCAGCGGTATAAATATTATGAATGTTTTAAACAGCATTTGTATTCTCACAATTTTAATTATAAAATTTTCTCCTCTAATATTGAATATCATTTCAAGTTTATACTTGTTTGATTGTTTATTTTTTTTTGTTTATTCATTCGTCCACTCCCTAGTCTCCTTATTTGACATTCCCCCAGTAACTTATATAATGAGCTTGTGTAAAAGGATGACTAGAACAGGAGCTGGGGGGGGGGGAATGAAAAGGGAGAAATATTGCTTAGAGATGAAAAAAGAAATGTTTCGGAAGTTTTGAAGATATAATCACTTCCAACATCAAGGCACGCGGCTCATAAGAAGAATTAAGAGCTTTTTTAAATTTCTTTGTTTTCAATTGCCATTATAGCTGTAACATTAACAATGTTTTTGTGAATAATCTCAAAACACCGCGATAAGTAACAGATTTACATCGATCAATTTTTGCTATTTTTGTTCAGAAATTTGCCTGCGGGTGTCACTCAGTGTACAACAAAAAGTAGTGCAGATTTTACAAAAAGTACGTCATAAAGAGTAGTCGGAAATGTCATGTAAGCTTGATATATGTAGGAACGACATTAGAATCATCCAGAACTTATACTGAAACAAGCTGTATTTATTTAGATAGAAATTGAATTCGGTAAATATATAAACATAATAATGGGTGTAAGACAAGCATATGTCTTCCTACTGGACTATACTCAAACTTTGCAGTGAGTTGATTTTGAGAGAAATAAAAATGCTACCAGGATGCATTGTTGGCATCCACTATCTTAACAACATCAGATATGCAGATAACACCGTGCTACTAAATGACACAGAAAGGAAAATATAAGAAATCCTACAGATGTTAGTGAAGGGAAGCGAGAGGCAAGACTAAACATCATTTCTAAGATAACATGATTTTAGCCAACAAAATGCAGATCCCAAATAGTCGAATTAAACCCTACAAATGCCAAAATTATGCAAGTAAAAACATTTAAATATTTAAGAATTGTTTTAACGCAAAAGAAAAAAAAAGTGCAACACCAAAATCCGAAAACTCTTTGACATAGGGAGACATGTCTTCACAAAGTTAAGCAAAGAAACAGAAAAAATCCCCATAGAAACAAAGTGTATATACTTAAATTTTATGTAATATCAATCCTCATATTTTGCAGTGAATGCAGGACTGTCTCTTCACAGATGAAGATGAGACGTGAGATGACAGAAATATGGTTATACAAAGGATGCTGAGAATGCCATGGATCGAACATGTGAGAAACGACAGTTTTAAAGAAATTGGAAACAAGAAGAGCACTTATAAAGGGGGTTTCATTGAAACAGATAAAATATAAGGGTGTTTCATTAAGACGGATCAAAGTCAGCAGTAAACAAATCTGTGTTATTGGTGAAAAATTATTTATTTCTCCATTGTTATTTAAGTCATGGCAATTATGGATGAAAAATAATATCTCCCAAATGTCCGCCAAATCTGAAAGAAAAAGAAAAAAATCATTAGAGGCTTAAACTTAATTTACACTTGAAATTAATCAAAATTATTGGAACACTCTTTACTTACCATCAAAAAAGACAATTGAAATTTCTAGAGCTCGTGATGAGGAAAGTTGGCTTAGAAAATTTAACACTCAAAGGACATATTAAAAGAAAGCGGGATAGAGGAAAACAGCGCAAAAACTACCTGACGAACTTGTGTAAATGAATAACAGAACAGGAATTAAGGGAGATAACCAAAAGAAAAAAATAATAACATATATAAAAGATAGGAAGTTGTGGAGAACCATGATCATCATCAATTGAAAGGACACGACACATAGAAGAAGTGTCTACACCATAACATTATTTCCTCAGTATAGCAGTTTATCAAATTGATGTTAGATTATTACGATTATATGTTACATCTATTAAATAACTTTATGGGA